TGGAAAGACCTTCACAGTCATTCTCACTATACCCATGAGGGGGATCAATGAAAAGACCGTCAGGGCCAGTGATGGCAGAACCTGGACACAGCTGGGACCCTGAGTCCCCGTCCCTTCTCGTCCCCTGACGCCTGAGGGAGGACAGAGGCTGAGGATTCCAGGAGAGGAGCTGGACACTCACCTCCTCCTGCTCATTCCTCAGGGAAAATATAGGAAACAAGTGGAGAAATAATTTAGGCCACAGGAAAATATTTACCTCTGAGTATGTTTGTTATTCTGGGTTGAATATAATTTACGATATTTGACCATAAACTTTAAACCCTGATGAGTACATCAACCTAAGTGCCAAGTAGCAGAAGACGTCTGTTTTGTCTAGAAGCACCTCAAATCTCCTCACTAAAATGTTGTTAATATAGAGGGAAAAAGAGGAAACAATGTTTGATGTCAAAAGGACACCGACTTGCAGGAGTCCTGGGTGCTGAGCTGACGTAACACACTGTTGTTATGGGTGGGGAGGATTTCAGGACAGACGCCCTGTGGACACGCACAGGAGCAGGAGGAAGCTCTCCAGGGTGAGGCCTGTGAGCACACAGGTGAGAGACCTATTGAGGGTCCCCAATCCACGCACATGCTCCTGTTCCCTCCCAGGGATCTGCAGAAGATTGATAAATATTTGTGAATGAAACCATGAAAGATACTGAAAGATCTGTTTGAGGGGAGCAACTGGGCTTAAAATAACATCAGGGGAACATTTGAGTTTCTCTAGTGAAGTCAATAACTTATATTTTTAAGAGAAATGATGATTTTTTTTGGCAAACAATAGTCATGACTGTTAGCCCAGAGAGAGGCCAAAGGACAAGCAGGATCTGTGAGCTGCAGGGTGAGTGTCCACATCAGGCAGAAACAGCTTCTGCAGCACAGACAGTGAGGATGGACGTCAAGGGCAGAGATGCCTAGAGACCCCTCTCCCAATGGGGACACGGCAGACACGGGGTAAGGTTACCCAAGGGCCCTAGTAGAGGTGCTCTTCTACCAGAGGGAGCAAGTGACCCCCCTCCTGAGACCCGCTTCTCTCCTGGGAAGGAGAAGCCACACTTTCCCTTTGCCTCCAGAGTCGCGTGAGCAGTAAAGGTGCTCTGTGTGCGCTATAGGAGGAGAATGAATTCAAGCTTTTCAGTAATATTCATTACTAATAATGACATTTCTCAGCTTCCAGAGTAGAAAACTGAACAACAGGTCACTTCCGTGATCTGCTCGGAGTCTGCCCAGGGGTAGGACACAGGGCGCTCATACCCATCATTGCTCTGACCCTCAGTTTCTTTCTCTCGCGGCTCACCTGAAGCTCCTGGTCTCCGAGGAGAGGATGCCTGTCACTCCGCGAGCCTCTCTGCCAGGGCTGTGTGCTCATCCAAGGCTTCTGGCCACTGACCCCTATGTGCTGGGTGAGAGGGCCCCCCTCTGGAACCCCCCACTGCAGGTGACACTGTCCTATGGGGAGCTGCAGCGTGGGGTGTCTGGAGCGTCATGAGAATGAAGGGAAGAATCTCTCTCTACAAAAGATGGGGAGCTGGGCTGTGAGGGTCACCAGGGGACAGTTCTGGGTGCTCAGACCACAGAAACCAAACTGACCCTGGATAAAAGTCCCCATTGATAGAGGTGACCTTGGACTTAACAAGGGTGGGTGACCATCACTGATATAGAAAAATAGGCTCTGATTTTTGCTTTTCAGTATTTTTGTTATAGTAAAAAGTTCTCATTCCTTAGTTTCTGTTGGCCCAGCAGAGCTGACCCTGTGAGCCTGACAGGACATGATTTCCCTCGGCCTCTCATGAGAACCTACTCAGAAGTGGGTTAATTACCAGAGTCAGGGGTCCTGTCACGTTAGCCCCACATTGGCGTCAGTGAAGGGACAGGCGTGTCAGCCTCACAGCGTGTAGGTCACGAAGATGGAAGGTCTGAGCTCCCCATGTGTCCTCGGACCTGCCCACTGATGCCAGCAGGAGCCGTGGCAGGCGCTCAGGTCCTAATCACCGTCCATTTCCAGTCACAGCCCCTGCTCAGATTCCCACAATCTAAATCAACAGTTCTAAAACCTCAGCATGCAGAAAATCTAGGATGACTGTTGAAAACACAGATTCCTGGATTTAACACTGAGAAAACCAGATGCAGCACTTGTGGACAGAGCTTGAGAACTTTCTCTGAGATGAGCTCCAGGTGTCTAGAGATCACACTTTAAGAAACATGGTCCATGAGCTGAGTTCTGAAATTCTCTTTTTTTAAAAAAGATTTATTTATTTATGCATACAAGAACCAGGGTACAGGCCAGAGGTGTGTGTGTGGGTGGTGGTGAGAGGATTCACTAGAGACAGAGTGGGGAATAGAACAGGCAGAATGACTAAAGTACACTGCTGAGGGGAGCAGCAGGCAAGTCAGGAGAGGTCTGCTGCACCATGTGGGTAGCTCCCTGGCTGGGGATTGAACTCACACTCCAGCAGCCGCAGACAGCTTCGTAGGTTACGTCTTAACCCTTGTGCCACCAGGGAGGCCCAGAATTCTGAAATTCTATTATGTCAGCAAATAAGATGGTATATTACCCAGCAATCCCTCTCTTGGGCATCTATCCATGGGCTATGGAACCATCAATGCAAATAACTATATGCTCTACAGTGCTCATAACTGCACTATTCACAATAACCAGGCCACTGATAGAGGACTGGGTCAAGATATGAGCTACCCGCGCTGTGGAATGGTATTCAGCCATAAGGAAAGGTGAACTAAGATATTTTCAGCAAAGTGGAGGAAGTTTGAGAGAACTATGTCTAGTAAAGTAAGCCAGAGTGACAAAGAGAAATGCTGGACATTCACACAGCAGGTGATTTGATAAAGTAACATACATAGAAAAACTAGTAGCCATTAACAAGCACCATAAGGACTCTGAGGTTTAGAGCAAGGAAGGAGGCAAAGGGATAAGGATCTAAGGGATAGTGGTGGGAAAAATAAATAAAGATGGAATCACAAGGAAAACTGGAATGTTTCTGAACTCTATAAGCATATAAACACAATTTGTGGAACATAGGAAAATCAGAGTTACAGGGAAATTTAGATCATTAAGTGGATAAGAGACTATGATGAACAACTTAAGCAATAAATTTGAAATGAAATGGATATTTACCTTAAAGACACAAATTACCAAACTGAATTAAGAAAAAAAAAGGAACCCTAAATAATCCTATTTGAATTAAAGTAAACAAATCAGCAATTGAAAAAAATATTGCACAAGGAAAGCCCCAGGCTTAGATGACCTTACTGTGAATCCATCAAACATTTCACTACATGAGCTGTTGGAGCTGTTGGAGGAGGGAGAAACACCCTCCACATCATTTCATCAGGCTTATGTCAAAACCAGGTAGAGTTGTCAAAAGGTAACTTCAGATCATTGTCTCTCCTGCATCCTTAATGAAATATAAAAAAATGTAAGTCAATACATTAGGACCACTCACTAAGTTTTATCTCAAGATTCAAGTTTGTATGAATTTATAGACATCAATTTACTGTATTATATTCATATAATAAAAAATAACTATGGGATCACTTCTATGAAGAAATGGCGTTTTCAATATTTAAAACCTATTTATGATAAAAAAAATGTCAGCAATGTTGGAAAAACATAGCACTCTTCAAGTTGAAAAAGGTCATCTATGAAAAACCTACAGCCATTATACCTTATGGTGAAAACTGAATACTTTCTGCTAAATAAGGAATAAGGGGACGTTGATTCTCACATTCCATTGTACATTGTATAGAAATCAAATACAACATTATGAAAGATAAATAAAAGCACTATGGATAATAAAGATGAGTGTTTAAGTTGCAGCTGACATGCTCATGTACATAGAAAATCCTAAGGCCAAAAAAAGCTTCTAGAACTAATAGGTGAATATACCAAAATGCGGGGGTAGGTCAAGGTCAACTGTATTCTATGTACCAATGATGGAAAATTAGGAAAAATGGGAAGTATAAATCCATTTATAATGACATCAAAATGACAATCTCAGATATAAATTTGAAGAAGTAGATAAGATTTGTACACTGAGATCTACTTAGTACCATTGAGAAAAAGCAAAGATTATCACGTAAATGGACAGGTATTCAAGGATTGGGATACTCCATGTTGTTTTAAAACCTAATTCTTCCAAAATCCTTAGATTAAAAACAATTCAATCCTGAATCTGAATGCCGATCCACATCTTGGTAGTTGTTTTTTAAAAGACATTGACAAACCGTTTCCACAATTTCTATGGAAATATAAAGGACTTTGAAAAATTAAGATACTTCTTAAAAGGAAAAATCTGGAGGAGGTGCAGCACTTGATCTCAAGACTTAGTATAAAGCTCTAGGGATCAGAATGAGTGTGGTGTTGGCACACAGATGGTCTAGGCCAGCGGAGCAGAAAAAGATGGTGAGAAAATGCAGATAAGCTTGTGAGAAAGGCAATCAAGGGGCCTCCCTAGTAGTGCAAGGGGTTAACATGCAACCTATGAAGCTATCTGCAGCCACTGAAGCACAAGTCGATCCCCAGCCAGGGAGCTACCCACATGGTGCAGCAGACCTCTCCTGCCTCGCCCGCTGCTCCCCTCAGCAGTGTATTTCAGTCAGTCTGCCTGTTCTGTTCCTGCTCTGTCTCCGGTGAGTCCTCTTACCCCCCACACCTCTGGCCTGCACCCCAGTTTTTGCATGCATGCATGCATAAATATATAAATCTTTTTTTTTAAAAAAAAGAATAATAAAAAATAAAGGCATTCAAGGCAATTTGGTGGGGAGGCGATGTGAGAGTGATCGAGTCCATCGACATACCGAGGCTGTGGGCCCCCCCGGGCCCCCCACCCGCCAAGAGCCCGCGGGCCTTTCTTCCGCGCCGCTACGTTTGAGTTCAGGCTTATTCAGGGCGGGAGGTCGGGGCGAGCGACGCGGGCGGGGACGGGCCTCACGCCCTCCAGGGGATGTGCGGCCGCGAGCGGGACCCACGGGCGCCTCCCCCGCGGGTGCAGGCAGGTCGCCACGACGGCGGCGATTACCTGGCACTGAGCGAGCACCTGCGCTCCTGGACCCGGCGGACACGCGGCCCAGATCTCGGGAACTTCCCAGAGGGCAGGTGCCGGCTGCCTCCGCAGGTTCCTGGAGTTCAGGACTGAAGAGCGGCAGTGCCCAGGTAAGCTACATGGAGGACGCCTGAACCCCCACCCTGACTCGCACCCCACAGGGAAAATGGGACACCGGCCACTCTCTGGCCTCAAGAGGGGCGTCCGCCTGGATTGCCTGTCCTGTGCAGAGAGAGGTTGTCCACAGGCCCCTTGGTTAACTGAAGGGCAGTTCAATCCAGTCTCTCCTGACAGGGAGGGAGACCATTCCTGCTATGACCCTTCAGGGATCCATTTGACTCAGCAGCCATCTCCGGAACCATCATTTTCTCTGTCAAGGGTTTGTTTTGGTCTGATGTCATTTTTGGACATCTGATTCCTCATTTAACATATACCCAGATGAGGAGAAAAAGTCTGTGTTCTCCGCCTTGGAAACCTGCATCTTCCTACTTTTGTGCTTTCACCTGGATTCTAGAACTTTCTAAGGAGTAAGAGATCATCCCACATTTCCAGATCAGACAGGTTTTGGGGTTTCCTGCTTCTCCTTCAAAATTGACTGTTCTGTCCTTTCTAAGGATGGTCAGTGAGGCTGCTTCAGTG